GATGTATTGTGATTTTTAATCTCTTACATATACTGAAGAACCACATGCTTATATCACTCAAGGAACTGATGACGGCAAGTATATCTAAATTGTTAAAATACATTATGTAAGGTTTTAACATTTAAATCTCTCAACTTCCCCTCCCACGAAAAAATATACTTTGAATAATGTAGCTGTATAAGTTGTATACATTTTTAAACTTAAAGTGTAAACACTGAAAGGTCTGGCAATTATATGAGATAAAATGAATCTTATAACTGAGATCTACAATGTTTACTGTTCAGATTTTAAAAAATGTACTTGAACATCTCGGCCATGCTGCAGTTTATATAAATTGCATATTGAAAAATTCAACACAGATATATAATATTGAATGCTCTGTACTTATATGAAATATGAGATAAAGATAATACTGTTGCTATTCCTTTAAGGTGTAAAATAAAACAAAATGCAATATGCTATTTATGGCAGTGTTTAGAGGAAATTCTTCAGAATCAATTTAAATATATGTTTTGTAAATTATCCTATATTTTCATAGGTTGATTTATTCGAGGTAAACATTGCTTTCACAATATACACAATTATAGTGCAATTCATGCTACATTAATTCTATAGCTCGCTTATAGGGCAAGGCATATACATGTGTGCATGTATATGCATGTGGAGGTGTATACATGTCTATGTACGAGAATCTGTGTGTGTGAGAATCTGAGTCTATAAGTGTGTGTTTCCAGTGTAAAATGAGAACTTTATAAAACAGTCTGATTACTGATCATAGTTTCATATGGAAAACAACATGCAAATGGAAAATCAAAATAATTTAATAATAAGTCTAGGCCCAAAATTAATTGACTAAAATACTGCCATCAAGAAGTGACATGAATACATTACTAATATGCCAAATACTGCATCCAGAAACCCTACTACTTCATAGGCCATTCATTTTTTTCATATTCTGAACCTTTGAACTAAATGCTATACTGCCAAATACATGTAATTAAATAGCATCACATGGGAAACAAGGTTATTTACTATCCAGGCATGATATATAAAATAGCATGAGCTAATCATGCCTATGTTTTCTTTCACATTTTTCTAAATCAAGCACAAAAAAGTTAGAATTCTTATAAACACAGTACTATGTAGTTAATGTTTCATTATCGCCCAGGCTGTACAGGACCAACAGGGACATCTGATATATCTAAAGGTACATGATCATTTCAATAGTATGCAAAACTCTAATGAGCTTTTCTGAATTGGCATATAGAAAGATATTTATTCCAGTGACTAGAGGCAGCAGTGATCAAGCATCTATTACATACAACAGGCTTGTGAATTGATGCACTGAATTATTTAAGTAACAGACATAAAAATTCAAATAAGATTAAATAGATATACACAATACATATCAACACATGCACATATGTTCACATTAATTAATGTTTTTAAAACATGAAAGTCTCTTACAAGATTGCTAAATGCAAGACATGATACATCATATTATTTTTATTGTAAATTAAAATGTTTAAAAGATTAAAAGCATAGTGTTCACACATTAGGTTCTATTCTAAAGTCCACCTCACTTATAACACACTGTCTCAAACAGTAAGCTATACAGGGTCACATTTTGTAGATTCACTGGAGTTCTTGGAAGTAAAAATAGCGAATATGAGGATTATGACCTCACTGTTCATTAGCTATACAATATTATCAATTAAAATGTCCACTTTCCAGTCAGTTAGTAGGGTTCTAAGAACTCTACAGTTGTACAATGAGGTTTAGCTAAAATATTTGCTTATTCTGAATATTACAAGAAATTGTACATCAATTGGACATATGTATTTTCAGTGACTGTATTGCTGTATAAAATGTGAGAAGATAAAGCAATTGCAGTTCTGAAGTTACTTCAATATATTTAATGCAAATGGTCAAAAACAGTTGTTAACCTGTTTTCAGATATTTCTAATTAACTTGCTTTACTGTTCAAATGCCAATTTAGAAAAAATCTGCATGTTGGAAGATACTGAACTCAAGCAGTTACACTTGCATGATCACTCTCTAATAAATTCTCATTAATGGCCTATAGATGAGGATGTCATTGCCATGCTTGTTTTCTAATCTTTTTATAGGTCTCCAGATGGCTGTGACGTAAAGTCGAAACATCCTACATGGATTTATAGGAATAAACATTCTTTCACATTCAAGTAGAAAGTTGATGATTTTCTACTTACTAGAAACAGAGTTCAATTCCAGTGAAAATCTGGCCACCTTATAGTATGGGATGCATAGAGGAACTCTATTTATATTCTATGCAGTGCATAAGGAATTAGGCCATTGCAGGAATACCCTTTTCATACTTAGTTTGTGTGTAATTCACATAGATGTAAACCACAGTCCACTAATACAATCCAGGCAATCATGCCTTATATAAAAGCCATATAATTACAGCTATTTGTATGGACCAAGTAAGACACTTGGCTGGCTTGCTTTCTAATAAAAGTGTCCTACTATTTATTCTGTGTCCAGAATTATTTTATAGGCAATTACAGATTACATTTCTGTTATGTTTGATATATAATATGAAGGGGACTATATAATATAAATTCAAACTACAAAAATAAAGAAATAAACTTAGACTACTGAGAATTTAAAACATTGCAACCCCCATTCAATAATTATTACACGGGAACACTCCGTGGGCTGTTAAACAGCCAATATTTGTGTTTTATTTTTATGTTAGGTATGTTCTATTGGTTGGATTTTATTAAACATGAAATTTAAAAATTACCATTTCTTGTGATGGTTGCCATCCTTTTGTGATCCTTCTTCTTAATATGAATCTGAAAAATAGCCAAAGAAGCAAATGATCATAATTTTAACACTTACAGTCCGTGAATTTTGTATCTGTAGTTTGTTTAACTATAAATATTGTTTATATCAACATGTAATGTTATCAAAGAATTAACTAAAACATTTTAACTCACTATATTTCCTGCAGATGATCTAATGTGCCCTAAAGCAAAGATGAGTAATGTGCTATGGTATGTAAAGGGTTAAAGACCATAACTAACATTCAAAGGGAAATAATAATAGTTAACAACAGGGAGATAATACCCACAAATTATTTGGGGAAATTTTATTATTAAGAATATAGCAAAAATATTTCATGGTTGTGGTTTTGTGAGAGACAAAATTGTGAAGGTGAAGCAGATATTTGCATACTGTAAGCTGCCAGTTACTTGATAAAGGATAGAGGCTCCACCTAGCCTCCAGTTTAAAAATATGCAAAACACATTATGCCAGTATTTTCTAGACAGATTTTCCAGGTCTTTTACATCAGTTATGTCATAAAGTCAACATAATTAGAAAGATATAGGCTATATTTACGGAATTACTGAACAAGTGTTTGAATCAATAAAATGTAATCACACCAGTTAAATTAGTATGAAATTAGTGAAATAGTAAAGACACTCATTACAAAGCGATATGTATGGCTTTATACTTGCATTTGAAGGATTTCTTTATCTATCTATCTATCTATCTATCTATCTATGAACACTATTGCATAAGTTTATTGCCTTCAATTACTCTACCTACTTGGCGTTCTCAGTCCAAATGTGCGCTGTAATTACTAGTATTAAGGTTGGGGCAGGGGTAGACAGATCGCCTGTGGGCTCTGTAGTCCGCTATGTTCGGCCTAAACTGCAACCTGTTCAGCAACCTTCAGTTCTTGGAATGGCCTCTGACCGTGGCCATGACATACCGGGACGTTCTGAGCTATTCAGCTGCTGAAGTGACCCTCACGGACAGTCCCAGCTCAGTAACCCCCTTGCAATAGGAAACCCAGTAAATACAGCAGTGTAAATTGATTGCTCGGCGTGTACATGTCACTGTTCTACATGCACATACTGCAGAAAGGTGTAGACTTGAATCCGAGTTCAGTTTAAGAGTCACATAACTTGCTAGGCTGGGTTATCCAATCTGCGAACAGTTAACGTATCATGAAACCTTTACAAATCACCCCGACATAAAACAATACGTAGTTTGGCCAGGGTGCATTTTTGATAACCAGAAAGTAATGGTTGCTGCGATTGAAGCAACCCCCTAATACGTGTGTGTGTTTTATATATAAACTATATTAAAAGCACCTTTTCACGTGTGCATAAACAAGCTTATGCTTTCGTTGTCAGATTGAAATTAAAACTACTTGGTCTCAAATGTTCAAGATTTTAAAAGTGCTAGTGACAACCACTGTGAAGAATATATTTATGTTGATACATTTTCAGAAAATATCCTCATGTTGCTAAAAAGCTTTCTCTTTCTATGCCTAAACGCTAATGCAATCCATTTACTGTCAATCTGCTTGATAATTAAGAGTTCGCAGACCTAACTACGTGCAGGGCCAACAGGTTTATCATCACACGTACGAAATCAGTTAACCAATATGTGTCATCATGTAAACTCATGAAACTCTCTCGTGTTAATCAGATTTCCCTCACAGCCATCCCTGCAAAGTTATGAGAGTTCTAATAAAGCAACGTGTCCAGTCTGTTACCAGAAGACGCAGTTATTGCCCCTGAACCTGACATAGACACACTAACCGAGTTCAAATTCATAAGGACACGTTTCTGGAAACACACGTGTGATATGAAGTTCAGTTTTCTCCATCTGACAAAGAATTCTGATGCTCTATAGTCTCCCAATTATACTTACTTTTTTCTTATAAGAAATATTTGACCCTCCGATCTAGACGTAAAGGCTGAATCTCCGGCTGCAAACAAAGATCCTACGGTCAAGCCCCCCCTTAAAGCACAGACAGCGGGTTCCTTCACGTCTCCAGAAATGCAGATCATCACCTTTATCTGAAATTGCAGCTTAGTTCCATAGTATCAATCTTGCATGGTTGGTTTTAAAATACTTAGCTTCTATCCAGAAAAACAAGGAAGAAATAGACAAAAAAGTTTTTTTCTTCCATATTGCTTCCTAAGCCCCAGAGTAGAAAGTGAAGTGTTGTACGTGAGGCTCTGCAAGTTTTTTTGGGGGGGGGGGGAGGGTTGGCCAAGGTCTAGTCCAGCCCTCTCTGCTGAGGAGGACGTGCTCTGAAATTCAACCGATTTCCCCAACGCTTTTGTTGCAGATGAACTGAAGCCCTATTGTTCATCCATTGCCACGGTCTTTTTCAGTTCCTACTATACGTTATGCGTTGCCAGAGATAATGAATTTGCACCAAACCCTCTCATAGTCCCCTTCTGACAGACGGAACAAATTAGAAATGTCTAGTCTAAGGAAGAGCAATGGCTACATTTTTCAATAATAGGAGGAAAGCGCGCATTTCTTTGGAAACTTACAAAAATTGCCCCCGAGAAGTTGCGTTTTCAAGCATGTTTTCATCCAGTGAACTTTTGAGGAACAGCTTCTTCTGCGTTCTGTTTTGGGAAGCACTGCCACTCTGTGTGACTTTTGTCCAAATCAAAATAAAATGAAACCACTTGCTGTTCAATTTGCAAACTTGTAGAGGGACCTCTCAGCATCGCACTGATTTCTGGAAGGAAGGGTTTTTTTTTTCTTTCTTTCTCAATGCTTCGGACTCAGAACAAGGGGGACAGCATCAACAGAAATGGATTTATGGAGCTTACACAGGAGTCATTGTAAAGAGAGAGCTAGAAGGGGGTGTTTCTAAAAGCTGGGGGAAGGGGTATAGCCTGTGGAGAGTGTAGAGAGAAAGGAGGCAGGGTGTTATTGTGTGTGTAGACATATGGACATGGTTTAGTGAGACTGTGAGAACTCACTGGGTAGAAGCCTGGATGTTTGCGAGAATAAGAACGTAGGGTGGAAGGGGTAAAGTAAGGTAGTAGTGCACCTTGGTGGGAAAGATGCGTGTTTGTGAAGGAGGGTTGTAAGAACCTTTGTATGAGTGTGTTTGTAGGAATGTTTGTGTGCAAGGCTGTGTGTTGATGGAGAAGGTTCCAAGTGTGTGTGTAAATATGTCTCTGGGTGGGTGTGTTTGGAAAATGTATCTATGCATGGATACACGTGTTTTCTCTACCGTGGTGGGTTGCTTTATTGCATGTGTGGGTGTCAAGAAGTGTGTGGGTGAAGAATGTGTCTGTGTGCAGAGCTGGGTGTTTGTGACGAGTGGAGGCGGGCGGGGGAGGGGCCAAGTTAAAAAAATCAGATGAGTATCCTGTATGGAAATGTGGCTGCAGGGAGATGGGAGGCGGTAATGAGCTACCCAGTCTCAGAACACCGAGATTGCCCCCAGATTTCCCGCCAACTGTAGCCAGAGAACAGACGGTCACTCGTGTCCTTGACAGTGGCTCCTACAGGCACAATCACACCCACAGACTAAGGGAAAAGACAAAGTGGGGTGTGTATGTTAGTGTGTAAGTAAAAGAGAGAGTGAGCATCTGAGTATGAAAAGCTGAAGGGCTGAGGAGATTTCTAGAAATATAATAACGTTCACACTTACTCCCTAGAGTAAGCGATGCCTTTGAGTGTGAGAGAGAGAGAGATAGAGAGAGAGATTGCTAGCTTGCAGCTTATATATTTTATCTAGTTAAGGCTGATCGTGTCCAAATCTACAGAAACGCCATGAAACACACCAAAAACTGGCATGAGAAAAGGAAAGGGCCCATATTAATGAAGCATATCCTGGATTTTCTAAATCTGCCTCTGATGCTGAAGCCTAATCCCGGGAAATCCCTCTGCCCGAAAGGCTCTTCAGACCTATGTAGAGGGAATTGGGGGTCCAATAAAAGACAGTCAGATAGAATGGGAAGGCAGCATCACAAAGCCCCCCTCACAACTGCAGTCTTCTGCCGCCGGTGTAGTTAATAAAGCACCTTCAGACGTTCCGAATTCAGGTTATCCGAGGAGCCAGCCTCTCCCTTCAAAGGAGAGAAATTAGTAGAAAACCGGGAGTAGTGGTTATGGCCAAGATTCGCCTGCAGATCACTGCCACTCCTGGGTATAGCAGATAGATTTGCAAGGCATGCAAGGTGAACCGCTACCAGCCTGGCGATTCTTCTGTTTCCTCTCTCTTCTCTCCCACACCGACATTGTCAGCAGCAGTTCCCTCCCAGCCACTGCACGTAACACTGTATCAGCAACTAGGTGCCACAGGAAGCCCAGTGATCACTGAGCCTGACGATTTACTTGCACCCATTGAACTCCCGTCTATCTTTTAATATTTGGGGTTGGTTTGATTTTGATTTGTTTTTTAGTGAATGCCGACGTTGTATAGTCCCCGCTCATTATCTTCTGAGAGCAGCAGCAACTATGTCCCGTTTTTAGTAAGAATCTTAAGTACAGCGCTGGTGGGATCATTTACAGGACGTGGCGCTTGTTTGCTTTGTTGGCTGTTCTTGGGGGAGGGAGGCATGGCATTGTTTTAACGTTTGTTTTACGAGCTACAGGCGCGGATCGGCTTAGGTGGGTTGCGAAACGGGGATGGAGAGGAGCAATGCAGCAGGAAAGCTCGTCACACGTTTCCAGCTGCCTTTCCAACCCCCCCCCCTGCTGCTGGAATACATCCCCTCTGCTGCGTGTGCCGTTTTTCTAGCGGCAAGGCTGCATCTCTCTCTCTCTCCCTCTTTCGTCTGTTTTCCCCATCCCAGCTTCACGTTCAAGGTTTAACAGCGAGGTCACGTCCATTGACGTCAGCTTGAGTCTTACTGTACGTCCGGCTGCATTTACATACATCAAGGAAATTAGGGCATTAAAAATATGCAAATCCCGCTGCTTGAAGAAGAGACTGTAGATTCCCGGAGCGATCGTCCCTGTTATTGAAGATTGTAATTAAAGGAACAGAAACAAACCAACCCGCCCCCCAGCCCCCCCAAAAAAACAACAATAACAACCAAAAACCCCGAATGACAAATATCTGTTAGGCATTGAGAAGAGGTTCCCGCTGCTCCGGTTCGGTGGCTGACTGAGGACGGCCGGCCTGCAGCACTGCACGGAGAAGAGAACAGGTTAGAGGAGGCTGCTCCAGACGTCTCTCTATGCATAATCAGGGCTTCACCGCTGCGCCATTCTCCTCTCCTCCTCCTGCTGCTGCTGCTCCTGTTGGTTCCAGCGTGTATTATTTTTAATACTGATGCATATGTAAAGGTATATTTGCATTTTTTTAAATTTACTGAAAGTTACAGGCTATCGCATTTTCTTTATATTTTCCGCCTTGGTTATTTTTTTTTAAAGAATCCTTTTCTTTTTCTTTTATTTTTGGCAAGACTTCTCTGCTGTGTGTGCTCTAGATTCTGTTTCCTCCCTGCTTCTGGTTGTATAAGGTTACCAAATATGCACATTGTTAATACAATTCAAGCTGCACAACATTCTTGTTTGGTCTTAACAGGAGAGCACATATTACTGACATGTACCTTGATCAGCTCAAATAATGGCAGCAGCTCGCGAGTGAAAGTTTGATCTCCTAATTAACTTCATATTAGGAAAAAATACCGTTTTAGGGGGTAAGGCAATCTAGATAACGCGCGTAATCGGCACTGTTTCAAACGATTTCCAATATTTCGGTGATGAATTACTACCATACGCGTGCATTTCTTTATTGATTTCAGGAATCTTTGATTTCAAAATATTCTCTTTAAATTGTGCAGACCTAGGAATGGTCAGCTTTCTCCAAGGAAGACATTTTCAACCATGTTGTACGTTCTGTCTTAACGGCTACATTAATAATGTACTACATTTTATTTTTAACTCGTGTGGCTTAAAACCCACACCTAGTGGTGATTGGAAAAGCATTTTGTATGTTATTTTAAAATATTGTCGATATCATAACATTTTATTTATCCTAAAATCCACAGGCCTGGAATTATGTTAAAACAGTGTTAGGTTATTTTGGTTTATTTTAATGAGGAAAATATATTTAACCCCCCAAAATGTATAGTTTATAATGTTTAAAAATAAAATACTACCCTCTTTCTAGCAATAGAATGCTTTAAAATGTAGAATTTCGAACCATAAAAGGAACAATGCCTGCACGTACACACACATTTTAAAAATTAAATAAGTCTAAGCATATGAATAGGAAATTAGTTACACTATGAATGACTTACCTGCACGAGCGAGTAGGGCAAAAGTTAGCCCTCCCCAGAGATTGTAATACATATATTTCGAAATACATGTCAGAGTGTAATTTTCGTTTTCTATTATTCAGCACCTGTTTCACAACATGTATACTTTAATTCTTTAGCGATTCTTATGGTATTTCCAGCGCTACCTCTTGCTCTAGTTTTACAAGCCCTATACTAAAGTGCTCATATGATATGTCACCCAATAAAAAGTGGTCAGATGGCTACACGTAAAACATTAAAAAAAACGGAAACAGACACTATCATCCATTAGGTTAGTTCTTACCTTACCATATATAGCACCAATGCATTAGGAAAGTACATTTTCTACACATTTTTATGAATAACTGCAGGACTCCACAACTGACTGCAGAGTCGCTCATTTACATGTAACATTGGGGACACCTAGCTGGCTAAAATAATTCAGTCTTCTAGGCTGATTTTAATTAAAACACGTGAATCACAGACTTCAGTGCCTCTGTACTAAGAGAGAGCGAGCGAGAGATGCACACTTATGTGCACGCACATATGTGTATGAATAACGCGCATAAGTTGTCTATGCACAGGTACATGTTTGTACATACAGCCACCCATCGATGTGTCTGAGTGCGTGTACAGAGGGCTGCACGATACAGATACCACTGTTATATAATGCACAGCTCTCTATGTCACACGTATGTCTGTGGTGTACTCGTTATGTCTACATGGGTAGGTAGATACTGTCACCATAGCTCTGTCATCTCCTTCTCTGTGTCTGGCCTCCCTTCGTGGTGCAGGGCAGTGCCCGATGCGCCTGGCTGGCTAGCTGCAGCTGGGTGTGCTGCTTGCGAATCACAGCAGCAGCGAGCGGCATTTGAATAAGCCCCGCAACCAGCACAAACCCCAACTCCTCCGCACGCAGCTCTATCTGCAAGGGCCACTTTCCCGGCCCTTCTGCACCTTGCAGCCCCTCCCCCCTCAAAGGCATGTGCCACAGGGAGAGCAAGGGACAGCTGTCTTGCTTCAGTCACTTGCCTCTCGAACACTCAGAATCACAGCAGCAGCGAGCGGCATTTGAATAAGCCCCGCAACCAGCACAAACCCCAACTCCTCCGCACGCAGCTCTATCTGCAAGGGCCACTTTCCCGGCCCTTCTGCACCTTGCAGCCCCTCCCCCCTCAAAGGCATGTGCCACAGGGAGAGCAAGGGACAGCTGTCTTGCTTCAGTCACTTGCCTCTCGAACACTCACTTGACGAATAGAATATGAACAATAAATATCGCTTCCCCCATTACGTTACACATTAGTTACCTAATACTGAATACAGGGATACATATTTAGTGCTGCATCCATACATTTCACCTGTGTTTTTAAAATGCCACTGAAAGAGCATGATTAATTGCACACATTTTTACGCAGAACATACCTAGAATTCGGTCAATATTGGATCTAAGACGTGGAGCAAGGTGGTTATGAAAAGACATTTTTAATTCTTGATACAGCTTTTTTCTTTCTAACTTTTTAAATAGAAAAGATACAGTATTTCACCCGATCATCCAGTAAATAATAAGATATGTGCAGGCACACTTCACAGGTGAGCACTCTTTCTCTGACGTTCTTTACAGCTTATTTTAGCAGAGGGAAAAATGCAGCTCTGGAGGACAGTCGTTTTCACAACACTCAAACCCTTTAGTGAAAGCATTAAAAATAACACAAATGTCCTGCATTTAAAAGCATCTACGGTTTTTCAATACGACACAATATATGTATTTATTCCCCCCCCCCCCCACACACACACACAGATACTAAATTGGGACAGTGGTTTTCCTGTACAAAAGCTTCCCTTAACTACGGGTGAATACACCTCACTAGGGCTAACCCCTCTCCTTTAGAGAAAAAAAGCCCAGCCTTTTGCTAATTAATAATTTCGTATGTGATATGCCAAGGCAGAAACCAAGATGAGCCGCAGAAGGAGAGAGGACAAGAATTATAATACTGGGGAATTTAATCCACATTTCAGCTCACTGCTAAATTGTTAGATTTTTCAGGACTGGGGGCGGCGAGTGGGGTGATGTGCAGTAAACTCTTTGTTAGATACATTTTGGTGAGTCAATAATATTGTGAGGCTTCAAAACGTTAACTTCAGCATCAATCATGGATAAGTAGCCAATGCAGATGTGTTTTTATGCACTCAGCGTTCGTAGCTTTAGCACTTACGAAATAAGCATTAGCCACCTTTTCCTGACGGCTTTTATGTTGTTTTATTTTCTTCATCAGTTTACACCTTGGCATAAATATCAATAAAGTTACTAATGTATTTCAACTAACGTATTATTTCACTGGTTTCTATAATAATCTGCCCAAAATGCGGATTAAATCTGCCTATGTGTGTGTGTATACACACACACACACACACACACACACACACACACACACACACACACACACACATAACATATATATATCCACCGGGCTCGCTGAAGTCCGCCGCTGATGTACTACTGTACAGAGATCAAGTGAAAAGGTGGCGGGGTTGGGTGTGGGTGGGACAGCCGTTGGATTAATACCCCTTACCCCATCCATTTCTTTAGATCTTTCTGAATAACTGACACAACTTTATGACCTTGTCCAACAAAGGCCCAGTAGGATGGGCAGGTGAGAAAGGTGAGATAATACTGTCACTGGGAGAATATTTGCAGCCCTAATAGGTCCCTTGGGGGAAAGGGCAGTCTGTGCCTTTGGACAGCTCCGGCCAGCAGGGGCATAGCGACACCTACTGGTCGCTTACGCAAACCTACATGGCTGCGGGAGGAGGGGAAGGTGGGGAGGGCTGTGTGGGGCTGAGATTAAATAAAAAGCTTACGAAGAGCCAACACCTGGATCGCCTTTCCTACAGAATGCACTCATTAGGGGAGTGTATGTGTAACACTTCAGACTCAGAATTTAACAAAGCATTAAGGTCTTGTCACAAGATTTTAACCGAAATGAACATAAAAACCCACCAAAGAGCTCTGAAGTGTCTAAGGGGATTGTGATCTTCAGTTCACGAAAGGCTCTTTCTAAAAGAAATCGTCCTACTCATCCTCTCATATATAAGCATCAGAACTGCGATCTACATTAAGTCTGAAATTAAAATACTTCCCCTTACAGTGAGATTCAGGATAATATTATACAGACATTACTGACCCGATGAGAATAATTTTAAATCCTTAACTGCGGAGTAGGTCCTTCCCCAGGAAGTTGAGGAAGGACACAGTGGGTACCAGGAGCGAAGAAGGGTAAAACCCCCCCCCCCCCCCACTCTTTCATTCACTCAGACACGGCTGTGACAGGTTGAGCTTTTGTCCTGCTATCATTATTGTTTTTAATACTGGGGAGAGAGAGGAAGAATATTCTAAAAATAATTTCAGCAGGGACATTTCCCCAACACTTCAGC